CTCATCTCTCATTCCCTTTAAAAACCATTTGCGGCAAGGCGGATTCGCAATTTACATGGTGGAATTTGCAAGCGGAAAGACTGCGCGCTTCTCCAGAGCGCAAACGGATCTGCTCGTGAGCGAGGTTAAAGCAGATCATCTACATGTCGAGCCGGATTCCACCATATCTTTATGTACACAATAATAATCCTTTACATTGTAATCCTTTTATTTTTAATATCTGGCTATTTTGTGTGCTGCACATTACATCCCTGCATACGTAATAAGCAGAGTACGCGTGTTGTGGACCCACCTATGGTTAGTAAACCTGGGTTAGTAAAACCCAGGCATTACTAACGCGCTCTTTAAATAACAAAAATAAATAAATTGCGCCATTGACTTTAGACCAGGTTTTTGTTGGTCAACGCACCAACAGTTAATAGTGTGCAACAGTGCCTGAACACACATCGTTTTCAGACCAGCACGCCCAAATAGGAGCAAATGCATTTGCATTTTAAAAAACGTGGCGCAAAATGTGAAAATGATAACTGTGTCGGGCTGAAACTAGCAAAATACACTTTGCGCTGGGTGTATGATAGGGCCCCAAGTGTTTTGAAGTCATATAATAGTTTTGTGTGAAGAACAAGCAGAAAATTTGTCATTTTCAAAAGATTTTCAGTGAATAAGCTCTTCTCTTTTTTTTTCCTTTCAGAAAAAGGCTAGTATATAGCTTCAGACGACTTAAAACATAGTGAGATGGACACATTTTGTTATTTTATTGAGTGTTTTGGTAGCCTGGCTAACGCCAGACCACGTATCATTGAGAATATAACGTGGTCTGGAAACCACATGTTCATTGTCTCGTATTTGAGAAAATGGTTTACGAAATTGAGAAAATGGTTTACGTAAACGTATTTGGTTTACGAAATGACCAAGGCCGTATTATTGGGTGCTACGAATGTCTATCAAATGCGCCTGTGCTCCCTCCCCGTTCTGTGATTGGTTCCCTATTTCAGGGGAAAACTTGGTTCATGATATCCAGACTGCCTAGCAGCGCGAATAAAATCGCGCTGTGGCAAGGCAGAATGGGGAAACCCAGGCTAGTGTTTTGGATGAAGTATGGGAAAAAAGCTACATGCATTTAAAGGAGCAATGTGTGACTTTTAGCGACATCTAGTGGTTCGGTTGCGAGTTTGCACCAGGTTTGCACTAAGGGCTCAGCCCACTGCTCACCCCTCCCTTTCGAAGAAGCTACGGTTGCTAAAACGGGACAAACATCTCGTCGGCTGAGACAGCAGAGAATAGCCAGAGTAAGCCAAGAGTGTGTAACATTGTCACTGTTTCTGTACCACAGTCCATTATAAACCACATCATGGATACTGTTTACAAAGCCATAGTCAGGTGAGGATCAAGGGTTTTAATATATAATTTAATAAAATAATAATCAGCTGATTGTCTCACAAACGTAACCAGCAGCACATTTCTCCCCACATACTGTAGCAAACCCATAATACAGCGAGGGAGCAGCTATATATTTTTTCTAACAGGGTAGTAGTTTAGCTGGCTAATATGAGCTGTTACTGTGGCTGAGATTGGAGGCGTCTGCATGAGTCCAAAGGTCGGAACTGCGCGCGCTGTTACAATCATGTCATCTCCGCATCCCATAGATACTATTTACTACACACAATAGGCTTTTTTTCTCTGATTTTTAAAATTCTTCGCGATCGACTTTAGTGATAAAAGACTTCAGTAAAAGTCTCTATCGACGGGTTAGTGATTCCTGTAACGTACTGTTTTACGGTCAATGACATGAATACTAATCATCAGCTGTCTCACGAACGTAACAGCACATCTATCCCCAACATAACAAACCCATAACACAGCGAGGGAGAACTAAGTTACATGAAACAATCCCAACTACATATTTTACACCACTCACAAGGGAAAAGTCACTACTCACGGAGTGTAAGGCTAGCTTCCAGCTTTCCGCTACTTCTCTTTCAAGGTAGTGATGAAACGCGTTGATGCGCTGTTTGTTCGCGTTCGGCTACGGTAGGAATATGACGTCACAACATGGCGACCTTCATAGAAGGGGATTCCCTCGGTTAAGGAGCTATAAATGTCTCATTCTAAGGTAATAAAAACATTACGGCTAATTAAGCAAGTTCTTTATACACCACTGAAAACATAGTTATGGATGTCATATTGCATTTCTGTTAATAGATACTCAACTTTGTTACACATTGCACCTTTAAAATTCTTCAAAAATGTACATTTTAAAGTCGTTTAAATTTACGTTTTAAAGTCAACATACAGGGTCAAAATGACATGAGGGCGAGTAAATACTGAATATTTAAATTTTTGGAGTAGCTATTGCTTACTTTAGCAACATGCATATAAAAAATATATAGATATATAATACTTAACTTACTGATAAGGGCACCATCTTTCCAATAATAAAACCACTTTAGGCACTAATCGCAACAGTTTGATAAACATTTTGAATTTTTGAACTTCAAAAATGTACTTTTGTGTTCCACAGAAAAACAATAACAACAACAACAACAACAACTACATATGGGGGTCAAAACAACATGAGGGTAAGCAAATAATGACTGAATTTTTCTTTTTGGGTTAACTATTGCTGTAATTCTGACTGAAGGTCATACTTTCCGGCCACCTGTACAGTGCTTCCTGCAGAACATTCATGTGCTCGTGACACCAAGTTAAAGGCCATACCGAAAGACTCAAAAGAAGACTCAAAAGACAAATGTGTGGTAAGAGGCGGTCAATTATGCATGACCACAACATGCAATTGTAATGAAAAACAAAACCATCTGCAGTCTCCATTCAGAAGCCAAACCTAAACTTCCAACAAAAACAAAAAACTGCTGGGCTTTGAGAGAATAAAGAGCCTATAAATCACACCGCATATAACGTCCACCAAGCTGTATTGCTTTAGGCGACAGCACAGATAGATAAAACAGAAGCCAAGGCACATATCCTCAACCATAGTCATTCATATTCACCGAGAAAGATACAGTGTCTAGTGACAAACCATACACGTGTCCAGAATGAGATTCATTGAAAATAAATAACTGTTAATTTACAAAAAAAATATATTGTCAAAAAGCTCGTCGAGGTGATTCAGGTCAGTTTTAGTTGCCATCTCCGACATTCTCCATCCTATAGACTACAGTAGTGGAGCTGTCCTCATTGCACTCAGTGGGCGACACTTTTGTCCACACAGTGTCTTTGAGAGCCAGCTCTTTCTGAAGGCTCTCGCAATCCAGGGGTCCAAAGATTTGCTGCTGTGTTGAGCAACACAGAGAACAGATTAGTTTTTTTAGGGGCCTCCAGAGAAAAGTGTGAGACTCACACTGATCAATAGGGTGATGTGTGAAAAGATTTCAAAGTCAACATAAACAAACATCCAATCACAAAGCGAGCACGCGCTTCTATTCACACAGCTGGGAAAATGTCAAAAACAGGTGCGTCTTATCATCACAGAAATTGCAAAAGCCTCATTTAGGTGTTGGTAGTCAGTTCATGATCAAGTCATGATCATTATATTAACTGATGACCAGTCCCACACGGAATCTGAGCACAAATAATATAGAATATTATGATAAATACAAGAATGCACACATACATACATTTATGCACTCACCTAAAGGATTATTAGGAACACCTGTTCAATTTCTCATTAATGCAATTATCTAATCAACCAATCACATGGCAGTTGCTTCAATGGATTTAGGGGTGTGGTCCTGGTCAAGTCAGAATGGGAAAGAAAGGTGATTTAAGCAATTTTGAGCGTGGCATGGTTGTTGGTGCCAGACGATCCATCATGCCTTGTTACCACTGTGCAGGCTGGTGGTGGTGGTGTAATGGTGTGGGGGATGTTTTCTTGCCACACTTTAGGCCCCTTAGTGCCAATTGGGCATCGTTTAAATGCCACAGCCTACCTGAGCATTGTTTTTGACCATGTCCATCCCTTTATGGCCACCATGTACCCATCCTCTGATGCCTACTTCCAGCAGGATAATGCACCATGTCACAAAGCTTGAATTATTTCAAATTGGTTTCTTGAACATGACAATGAGTTGACTGTACTAAAATGGCCCCCACAGTCACCAGATCTCAACCCAATTGAGCATCTTTGGGATGTGGTGGAACGGGAACTTAGTGCCCTGGATGTGCATCCCACAAATCTCCATTAACTGCAAGATGCTATCCTATCATTATGGGCCAACATTTCTAAAGAGTGCTTTTAGTACCTTGTTGAGTCAATGCCAAGTAGAATTAAGGCAGTTCTGAAGGCGAAAGGGGGTCAAACACAGTATTAGTATGGTGTTCCTAATAATCCTTTAGGTGAGTGTATATATGTGTGTGTGCATTATTGTATTTATCATTTTATTATTAAATAACTGGGCTTGCACAAATCTGTAAAACACGTTTTTTTTATTTTTAGTACTTTTTTCAACAGTAAAAATGTCTCTACATTGATTTTTAAAATCGGTCTGTATTTAGGTTGAAATATTCCTATTTTTTTTAGAAAAGAGCTATGCGTTATAATTCATTCCACAGATTTGTGGAAAAAGTCTACAGATTCCATCTGGGCCAGCTGATTATGAATCTAAGGATGCAGACTGAAGCAAGCAAACAAAAACAAATATCTTGTTGGCTAAAACGGCATAAAACATGGGAAATTATGAGGTAGCACTTAACATGCAAAATTAAAATCTCATGCAGTGCGCAGAACTTTGACGAATCTAAGTTTTTCTCGTTTTTCGTTGCTTTAGGTATATAGTGTCACAATGCTCCAGCAGGGGGCGTGGTGCCTGACTCTGGGCCTTGAATCAGGTGTTAAGTGAAAATAAGCTTTCTCTGCAGTATTCTTAGCTTCTGAGTCTTAAGTAAATTATTATGTGCCGTCTATCATACAAGAGGTGGTGTAACGCTCCTATGGGGCACGTGGGGAGGGCAAGGCTGGCTGGCAAATAGAAAAGGACACTCACCCGCTGGTCTCCTCCCTCTCGGCGAGGATCGAGCTTCTTGGCAAAGTGCCTCAGGTTGTCATAGTTGTGAAAGTTGAACAAGGACACCAGATCCTACAACAGGACAGAAAGCCACAGGAGTCAGTCTGAGAGGTCAAAGGCTCAAAGCGCACACTCAACTGTATGTCTGCGTTGAGTGTCTCGGTGGTCTGCTAAGTGGCAGGAGATTGTGCAGCACATTTCAAGATTTCATTAGAGCCCTTAGTCCCATCATAATGCTGAAATTAAACTTCATCACAAACAATGTCTTTAAACTTCTCCGGTTCCTGTTTTCAGGGTCATCTGAGGTTTAGTCCATGTGATCATTTATATAGTCTTTAAAGGTGACATTTCAAGCAGTGCCAACAGTATCCGTTCCTTGTTTATGTTTAGTATGTTGTTGATTCATTTTTATGTTGCTGTTTTGAAAATGTAAATCAAAATTAACCTGTGACATCATAAAAAGGTGACATCTTAAAGGGATAGTTCACTTTGAAATTAATTTTTGATATGTTTTATTTTACCTCAAGGGCATCCAAGATGTACATGTAGGTGTCTTTGTTTCCACAGTAGTTTCAATTTTGATATTTTTAGGTCAAACCGTTCATCTATGTCAATCATATAATGGAGGTCTATGGTCACCACCTCAAAGAGCATGCACAGATAAGTCCAAATTAAACATGATTTAATGACTCGTAAATGTAAGTACACATTGATGGCCTAAGACACGAAACGAGCAGTTTGTGTGAGAAAACGAACAGTATTTATATCGTTTTTACCTCTTGTAACCACAGCCACGTCCAAGTGATCTGAGGGTGCGGGCGCTTTGGTCTGCGCAAGCGCCGGCAAGCACCGGAAAGCCCCGGAAGTGATCTCTCACACATTTACGTCACTCATTGTTTTTGTTTTTTTTGTGAAAACAAATTCAACGTTGTCTGTTGATATATCAAAATCGTCTTCGATTGCGATTTCCTGTATATCTAAATATGTTTAGATCTTCACAGTGAAAGGTAAAACTTCCAAAATCTCTGTGTAAACAATGAGTGACGTACACGCACGAGAGATCACTTCCGGCGCTTGCGCAGACCAAATGCCCGCGCCCTCAGATGACTTGCACGTGGCTGTAGTTACAAGAGGTAAAAATGATATAAATACTGTTCGTTTTCTCACACAAACTGCTCGTTTCGTGTCTTAGGCCATCAATGTGTACTTACATTTGCGAGTCATTACAGTTTTTCTCAATTGCTAAAACACTAAAATCTATTGGCTGAACAAAGTTCTCAATTGCCTGAACTAATTTAGCTAATTGTGGAGTCTGTTGTCAATACCATAAACAATTTCACATGGTACAACACAATTTGCAGATCTCACTTAGACTTTTCAGCAAAACTCTGAACATATTCTCATTCTCAAAACACATTCTGCACTCCAATGCACATATCATCCATACTGGTAAACACAAGTGGCAACAATCAAATTCAAAAAGAGAACAAATGTCATTTGATTGAACACAACCACTCAAAACTGATTCAACCTGTTTCAAATGATGTGACAACCAATTTTAGCCAGTTCAGAGAGCAAACTGAACTGAGAGGTTGTTGAAGGTGGAAAGGAGAAAGTCTGAGAATGGATAGAAGAAACAATGTGAGAGGACGAGGACGTATGCGAGGTGGTCGACGAGGAGGAGGAGGGCAAGAAAGAGGAGGAGGAAGAGGAGGAGGAGGGCAAGAAAGAGGAGGAGGAAGAGGAGGAGGAGGGCAAGAAAGAGGAGGAAGAAGAGGATGAGGAGGGCAAGAAAGAGGAAGAGGAAGAGGAGAAGGAGGACGAGGAAGAGGAGAAGGAGGACGAGGAAGAGGGGGCAAGGAAGAGGAAGAAGAGGAGGAGGAGGACGAGGAGGGGGACAAGGGACAATATTGCTTGTGATGTCGACGATGTGCTTTTGCCTGACCCAGGCCAAAGACAAGAAGCACATTGATCACGTTTACTCCTTTCATTTGTGTCCCTTTGAGTATCGTATACTGTAGTACAGTGCACTGCTGTAGACTGTACAATGAAAAAAGTTCTCCCTGAGAACTAAATGTTTTGGTGTGTTGTTTATTGACTGCTTGATGGTGTATAGCATTTTGATCACTTTGTTTATGTTTTGAGAGCAGTGTTTGAATTTGAACACAGGTAAAACTGTTTTGAGGCGAAAGTTTCATTTTGCAAGAGGAGTCAGAGGTTTTGTAAATAGTGCTTGAAGATGAGGTTTTGTGTTTAATGTTTTCAGAAAATGGAACAAGGTTTCAGAAACTTTGTTTCAGCAATTGAGAAAAACTGTAAATCATGTTTAATTTGGACTTCTCTGTGCATGCTCTTTAAGGTGGTGACCATAGACTTCCATTATAAGACTGACAGACAAGAACGGTTTGACCTAAAAATATAAAAATTTAAAATACTGTGGAAACAAAGACACCTACATCTTGGATGCCCTTGATGTGAGCTAAAACATATCAAAAATTAAATTAATTTCAAAGTGAACTATCCCTTTAAGGTTTAGAAGTGTGATGTTAATTAGGAAATGATTTACTCCATTGTTTTAGACATCAGCAAAAGTTACAGTTGCCTTGCAATTAGACTTCCACTGTAAGTGTGAAACACCGGTTTAATATATTTTACTGCATTTTCAGGGTTCAGAGAAACCACATTTCTAGCTATGTTCTTTATTTCAATTAAAGTATATTCAATTTCAGAAAAGAAAGTCTTAGCAAATTACCATGTTCTACATCTCCATTTTAGCCTTTCAGCTAAGATAATGTTTTTAAGTCCTTATACTAATAAACTATTAGTAGTAGTAGTAGTAAAAGTAGTAGTAATAATAGATTATGTGTATTATATATTTGTAAAATTAGTTTTTGTTCTACCATCAAGTTTGTGTAACACAAGTAGTTAAACCTTGAAGCTGACCTTGAAACTGCACTTCACCTTATAAACTATGATTTAAAGGGTTCAAATATTCAGAACACTCCCTGAATTTGTTAGAAACTAAGGAAGAGTTGGCAGGAACGTCTGAATGTCTAATATTACGCCCATTTGCTGTTTTGTGACCTCCTGACTAGCCAGACTTACTGTGACCGTGAGACTGTAAAAATGTGTCAAACTCTTTATTCCATGACATAAAATTCTGATCTAACTGCCCACCCTTTAATTAACTCCATCAATTAGCTCTGGTTCCTTTTCCGGGGTCATTCCGAGTCAGACTGTACCCACTAAGGAGTCCCAGACAGGGACTAATTATAGACTCCTTGCCCTTTAACAAGGGTCTGAGAAAGGCTGTGGAGATATTCAGACCCTGGACCAGTGCTGGTTCTCAGAAGGACCTTAAAATAACACTGACAGATTCTGAACATTTCAAAAGTTATACGATGGGCATGGGATGCAGCAAATAGAGAAGACAGCTATAGAGAAAAGCATAAAAGCATATTTCTATTTTCTATTATATTTCACAAATTCTATTTCTTGTATTGATTGGAGATACTACAACTAAGCAATCTAGCAGTACAAAAGAATAAATCTATATAACTTTAGGCCTCTGACAATTTTCAATATATAATTCAATAATCTAGTTAAAAATAATCTATAACATTTTTTTCACAGTTTTTAAATGAATAAATAACTAAACAGAGATAAACAACTGAACTACTGTTCAAAAACACAGTAACACAGTAAAACAGTAATATTGTGAAATATTATTGCAATTCAAAAATACATGTAACATTTCTTATAATTATTCATTTTAAAAAAGGTTGTGCTTGATAATATTTTTGTAGAAACTGTGGTAAATGTTTTCAGGATTTGAATAAAAACATAAAAAAGAACAGAATTTATTTATATGTAAAAGTCACTTTACTGTCACGTGACCTTTCTATAAAAAATACATAATTATATTGTATTGATGGTAAATATACTTTAGCATTCAAAAATGTGGGGTCAGTAAGGTATGTATTAATAAAATAATAATAATAATAAACAAATTTCACCAAATATCACCAGCAAAAGAAGTTTGCAAATATATTGTGAATGTTTGACGTATCGCCCAATCCTACATGCCTTACATGTATCGTGAGAAAAGCACATACTTAGCAAAGTTTTGGTTTACAAATGATAATTCTATCCCTTGGATACAGATAGAGGCGAGTACAACTCAGAAATTGCCTTTGAACCTGTATCTGTATTCAGCACCCCTGTCCAAACTGAAAAAAGCCACTCCCAACCCCTTTGTTAAAAATACTATTGTGGTATGGTATGAAGTTTTGAAACATATTGGACAGATTCCAGAATTATCACAATTTACCCCTATATGGGGAAACACTATGTTTACACCGGGGACACATGATGGGGGTTTTAAAATTTGGGCATCAAAAGGTTTGAACAAGGTGGCAGATTTATTTAACGATGAAACTATGCTCAGTTTTCAGGAATTAAGACACAAGTTTGATTTGCCAAAAACCCATTTTTTTTAAATATCTTCAAATTAGGAATTTTATCAATAAAACACAACATCTTTCTCTTCTCTTACCAGAGCTGTCCCCTTTAGAAAGAATTACTCTAAACCACCTTAATGGTGCTGGGCAAGTTTCCCTGTTTTATAAACTGATTTCCACTAACTGTAAAGAAAATACAGAGAAAAAGCGTTTGGCTTGGTGTCAAGATATAAGTGAGAATATAACAGAAGATGAATGGCAGAGTATCTGTTTAAAGGCCCAAACCCAAACAATCAATACCAGGTTTAAACTTCTGCAGTACAAGTGGATAATGAGAGTATACATAACTCCAGAATTGCTTCATAAATTTAATCCCAATATCCCCAATCAATGTATAAAATGCAACTCAGAGATAGGAACTTTATTCCATTGTCTATGGAAGTGCCCTCAAGTTCAACTTTATTGGGAAAAGGTTCTGGACTTTTTGTCACTGGTGGTGAAACAGAATGTCCCCAAATGTCCTAAACTTTGTATATTTAATTTGTTCCCTGTTACTTGCACTCTAACTAACTCTGGTAAGAAAATGTTAACCTTCTGTTTATTACAAGCAAAACTTTTAGTTGCCCGTCATTGGAAAAACACCGAAATCCCTAATTTTAAACAATGGTTACAGGAATTGTCAGGTTGTTTGGCTTTGGAGAAACTCACATATATTGTTAAAGGAAAATCTGGAAAGTTTTTCAAAGTTTGGAACCCCTTTATAGAATTTTTAAAGGAAGCTGAACCAAATAGTTTATTTTCGGTGTAACCAGGAATAACAAATTATGTTATTAATGTACCATTGTCTTGACATTTGTATAGTATAGTTGTTGTCGTTGTTGTTTTTATTATTATTTCTTTTTCATTTATTTAATTTATTTTGTATTTTTGTATTTTATTTTTCTTTCTGTGCTTGTTTTAATGTAAATGTTTCTAAAATCAATAAAAACAATGTTGAAAAAAAGAAAAGCACATACTTTACATCTCTTCACAAAGGTTTGTTTCCAGTACATGGGTAGAACTTTTTACCCATTAAAGTAAATGATAAATGAAAGTGTTTATATTGCGTGTAGGTGTGTTGAGAAACAAGAACATTCACATACCGTGCAGAACTGGATGCCCCTGACACTGTTTCCAAGTTTGTCTAATGGCGGAGACCAGCACATAATGCCCATCACATTGGGCACAACCAGCAGAATACCTCCAGCCACACCTGACTTGGCTGGAAGGCCCACCTGAACAAAAATGAAACACATTAAAATAACATAAAACAAATACTAGAATAATAGTTGAAGATGTTGTGTTTGGCTGGAAGACACTGGGTGAGTTCACTGAGAATTATTAGAGTTCTTTATTTTCATGTTATGTTGTCATATTTTATGTTATAACGTGCTTGATTAGCATTTAAAGAAGGCGTGTTTGCTCAGAAAAGATTATTGCACAGACAAAAGAGTTTTGTCCTGAAATACTGTGTGCTACAGTGATACAACTGTTTAATTAATTTGAAAGTAAAAGTGTACTTTAAAATGGTCCTACTATTCCCTTTTATGAAGTCTTGATTTTTTTTCGGGGTGTACTAAAATATCATGTTTGATTGTTAAATAAAAATTTATATATATATATATATATATGTGTGTGTGTGTGCTGTGATTGGTTAGCTGGCTAACTTCTTATCTAGTGTAAATATTAAGGATGGCCACAATTTTAAACCAATTTGAGCCCGATTCAGACCCTGACAATGTTAACAAACAAGTGGATTGTCCAGAACGGATCTAATGCACAGACTTTGCAAGCACGGATTTCACAGGATGTTTCAGAGTGGTGTGTTTTTGGTAATATTCTCATACATTATAGATAGCCCACTAAGGGCCTCAGCAAACATCTAGCGAGGCCTTAAGATGACTTAAAATGTTTTAAAACAGAGATAAAATATTCATATAAGTTTAAACAACTAAAATATATTTCTTATTTAAATCCACCCCCTCAAGAACAGTTTTTTTTTACTTTGGAGAATTATAAAAGGTGTAATGTCTAGTCCTAAAAAGGCATTAATAAAATATAACCCCATGTGCATTTTTATAAATATATATATTTTTAGTTATTTCAAGTACTAAAATATTTATCAGGTAGAAATTTAGTGAAATTCTATCCTTTTCCTTCCAAAAAGTGGAATGTCATGGGGCCTTTGGGTACCTCAAAATAAGTAAGGGTTAATGCCCGACGAGGTGTCCATTGTCAGGTTTCCATTAAAACCTGACAATGGACACCTCGGAGGGCATTAACCCGCTTATACCATGGTCACTTGCCAAATAAAACATTTTTAAAACATTAGTTTATATTTTAATTAGGCTAAATCTAGTTTTTACAAATAATAACTTGCCTTGCCTGACTGTTTATTTAGCAACCGGAGATATTTATAGTCCGCTTAGCTCGTATCCCTTCAGGTTCACAAATGCATTTTTTTTTTTTTTTCATGAAACACAAAGGTAGGCATAGTTTTTTTTTTTTTATTACACATAAAACAATTAATCAAACAACAATAAAAAAACAATTAGCTCTGAGCTCCAGCGATTTGCGCTTAACGTTATAGAGGGCAATAAATTAATCAGATCAAAGAGAGGGTCATTTGCCTCAGACTCCTTAGGCTTGAAACACTGTAACGTTCAGCCTTCTCCTGCCTTGGTTGTCTGGACAGCTGCGTAAAACTCCCGCAGGGTCTCATTCAGGGGTGCGTTTCCCGAAAGCATCGTTATCCAACTATGGTCGCAAGTTACGTCGTTACCAATAGAGTTCAATGGAGCAGAGCAGCAGCGGTGTAATTTTCTCCGTTTTATTTACATTTTTTCTTTCTTCAGCAGCATACCAGTCGTCAAAGTTGCCATATTCTCCATAAATGTTAAAAGAAATAGCACGAAGTCGCTCATTGTTGTATTAGGCTATAATATCTAACGTTAGATGATAGAGCTAGAGCATGTGACTGCCTGTTGCTATGGTTACTCACAGCCGTTGTAGGCAGCGCATTTATTTATTAATTTCGAATGGTAAACAGGCAGTTTCACCAGAACTACTTTACTAGGTGTCCTCTATCACTAGGTGTCCTCTATCACTGACACCCTGTAGCCAATCAGAATCGAGTATTCACCCAGACCATGGTATAACAGGAGTTAAGTTAGCACACGTATTATGTGAACTTGTTTTTTTTTAGTGAGTGTGTTTAAGCATGTGTGAACCTGCATGCATAAAAACTTACATGGAAGGCAAACTGTCCAGAGAAGTCATACATGCCGCAGGAGTGCATGAGGCTGAGGGTGTTTCGCACGGCCTCGGGGCTCAGCACACGCTCGCCTGTGATTGGACAGAAGCCTCCGTTTGCCAGCGTGGCAGCCATGACGCTAGCACTCTCACAAGTTACCTCAATGGAGCACAGCTGTACATATGCATTCACAAATAAACACACATGAATAAGAAATATGATTAGGCCAGAATGTCTTATCTAAGAATGAGACCATTTGTGTGTTTGATCAGAGAGGTCTCATGATCTCAGAGGCACATGACAGGAGTCAAGGGACAGGGTCACCAGACTGCATTCTGCCATGCCAAACTACGCCAGAACTTTCAATACTAAGGCTGGGCATCAACAGGAAGTCACTGATTTTATTTTTACAAGCTCTTGCTTTGATTTCAATTTCATACTATTTTGACAAAGTTTAGGGTATTTTCAATAAAATATGAAATTTTATTCAGCAAGGAGAAATTAAATTAATTTAAAGTGACAGCAAAGACATTTGTAATGTTACAAAAGATTTATTTCAAATAAATACTGATGTTTCACAGTTCACAAAAAATATTAAGCAGCACAACAGTTAATAATAAGAAATGATAATAATAAGAAATGTTTCTTGAGCACCAAATCAGCATATTAGAATGATTTCTGAAGGATCATGTGACAGTGAAAACTGGAGTAATGGCTTTGCCTTCACATGAATACGTAAAATATATCAAAACAGAAAAACGTTAATTTATATTGCAATAATATTTCACATTATTATATTTTTTTGGATCAAATAAATGCAGTCTTGGTGAGCAAAAGCGACTTCATTGAAAAACATTCACAAAAGATTATGACCACAAACTTTTGAATAGTAGTGTATTTCAGTTACAAAGTCAACATTTTGGAAGGCAATCCCAGAATGCTTTGCAAAAAGTTCATAATCCTTACGATGCAATCCGACAGTGACTCAGAGATAAAAGCAATCTCAGTACGCACCTGAAAGTAGAAGTCCAGAACAGCAGTCATGTCTGTGCCATCTGGAAAGCACTGCATAAAAGAGAACGAAGGGTTAAAGTCAAAATTTTGATCAAAACAACAAACCACTCCAGAAAGTAAGGGGCCGTTAACACAACGATGTTTTGAACATGGTGTCTGTACATGAAACATGCAAAGTAAGTACATAGTTGTTGTGTAAATGTACCCTAAATAGACAAAGAAGTCACTGCACCCATTGCTGGGTGCAATAAATCAAGGGTGATGAAGACACTTAACCATCTCAAAAACGCCATGAGAATCTAACCTTCTTTTCTTTCAGGTAGTAGCCGATAGCGAAATTCCTGTCTCCTGACTCACGCTCCGACTGGAATCTAAATCAGGTGAACATTTAAGATTGATCATGCAAACATTCAGATGCCTCAATTGAACCAACCATGATAAAAACAGATACTGAAAGAGGACTGATACATGATCTATGATCAGAAATTGCAGCTCAACATACGTGGCATTGCTGAAACCAACATATTCATTTCCCGCCATCTTCTTCAAGAAGTTCATGACCTGCAGAAGAGAAATCAGAATAGGTTCCTCAAAGCCAAAAACAACAACTGCAGTGTAAAGATTTATTGTAATCCTTTGCTAATTGACTCACATAATCAAACTTCTCAGCATTGCCAGCTCTTTGCTGAAAAACAGAGGGAAGAAATAAAAGGCGAGTACAAATATTTTGCCCTCATTGAGTGTTTATTATACTACGATTCTAATAAATCACATTCAAATAGATAAAAATACATTTTCAAAATAGCATAATGGGGAAAAAATAAATCAGAAGAGTAACTAACTCATATTCCTTAAAATATTATACCAGTACAACGCTAAAATCATCATTCCTTAAATATTACCAGTACAACGCTAAAATCGTCAGTTAGTAGTCTGTTGTTAGAAATCAGTAAGAGGAAGATAATCATTTTATGTTTACTACAGTAAAGTACTGTTATGCTCTACAAAGGAAATGACGATGAACCGCTACAGAGCGAAGACTGGAGTTAAACATGTGCATGAAGACCTGTAGGCCAAACAGAGAAACCAGAGTGGATGTGAATCAGCGGGGTTGGTAACATCTTAAGATGATGTGTGAGGAGGATCTGTGCATTGTGAGTTGATGCGTTTCTGAGTGAGTGTGTGGATCAGAGTCCAATAACCTACAGCTTCCTGCCAGACTGAGTGTGGGTTTAGACACCCATCAAATCAGTGCAAAGAGCTAAGAACCATTGAGCTTGATCACATTACTGTCATAAATGAACACTGACTAATGTGGTTGTTTGACTGTCACATCAGGGGTGTAAAGTACATAAAGGGTTAGTTAACCCAAAAATGAAAATTCTGTCAGTATTTACTCACCCTCATGTTGTTCCAACCCTGTAAGACCTTCGTTCATCTTCGTAACACAAATTAAGATATTTTTGATGAAATCTGAGAGCTGGAGCACTCCTCCATACTAGTCCATAGGCTTCTTGAGGGATTGAAACTTGCCGGCCTCAAAAGTTATTAAAGACATCGTTAAAATAGTCCAAGTGACTACAGTGGCTCAATCTTAAGCGACGAGAACACTTTTTGTGCATAAAAAACAACAAAAATAACGACTTTATTTCAACTATTAATTTACTTCTCTCTGCCTCTACTAGTTTAATAGCGTAAGCTTCTGTTATTGTAGGTCACACGCATCACACACAGTGTCGGCCAATAGTGAGCCTACGTGTGACGTAGCTCTACGCTATCACACTACGTTAACTGACTAGATGCCCATTGAGAAGGAAGTGAATAGTTGAAATAAAGTCGTTATTTTTGTTTGTTTTTGCGCACAAAAAGTGTTCTCGTCGCTTGATAAAGTTAAGATTGAGCCACTGTAGTCACTTGGACTATTTTAATGATGTCTTTAATAACTTTTCGAGGCCAGCAAATTTCAATCCCTCAAGAAGCCTATGGACTAGTAATGGAGGAGTGCTCCAGCTCTCAGATTTCATCAAAAATATCTTAATTTGTGTTCCGAAGATGAACGAAGGTCTTACAGGGCTGGAACAACATGAGGGTGAGTAAATACTGACAGAATTTTCATTTTTGGGGGAACTAACCCTTTAATTGCACTTAATCACTATATTTATATGGATTCATTTGGTAAAATTGTAATCTTAACCAATTACATTTCTAAATGGCTTACAATTGGATTAAACCTTGACAATACATACACTACTGTTTAATAGTTTATGGCAGGGGTCTCCAACCTTTTTTCATTTGAGAGCTACTTTTTAAAAATAAAAGTGGCCAAGAGCTACTTATGAATTACAATACATAAATCTCTTAAATAATGTCTCATAACTCTCATATTAAACTCTATCCAAATTGTTTTAGACTTAGGCTCAATCCCCTTGGCCCTACCCCTTGTTTTCGAGTGTACCCCTTGGCCCTTAAAACAGAGTTACAAGGGCCAAGGGGTTGAAATATTCCCCTACAAAATGGAAAAACCCTTCATGAACCCGATACGTCATCAGTCGCTGGCGATGGCTCTGCCGTTACAGAGTTTTTACAGGATTTCTCCATGCCAACGACTGACAATCAGCGCAGCTGCTCTTAACTTTGAATAAACATGATGATTATAACATCCCTTCCTCGAAATGTATCTTTTCTGATCGGAAAGGTAATTTATTATTCCATTTCTTAATTTAAACAACTATAGTGTTATTATAAGTGTAAATGAAGTGCGTGGTGGAATCATCTGGCGCTAAATTTAAATGTTTAACCGTTTGCGATCCATCTCGCCGGTTATTTGCGATGCATTCCGTGAACTTTCTCTTAGCCCTCCGTTTGGAGTGTGCCTATGAAAAATCTCCGTTTCAAGGGCTATGTAGCCCTACCCCTTCGCACTACCCCTCGATCTTGACAAGAATCGGCACACCTTACCCCTAGACGTAAACGCGTAAAATTGAGGGGTAGGGCCACCGGGGGGGAATTGGGATTGAGCCTTATTGTAGTTGTAGCCCTACAGTATATATGTCACCCTTAAATGACAGAGATACATATTTTTTTTATTGTACTTTGCATATTATACTGTAATTATAGTTAATTATTAAATCAATTATAAAATCAATTATAGTTGATTTTATAGTGCATCATAATGAAATGGCATGAAAATTTTGTTCAAAAAGTACTAATACTACACAATAAAATCAATTCACCAAATTTTATGTCGAATACCAGCAAATAACAAATACAATTTGCATCAATATACACTTTTTGTTTACATAAACTATAAAATTAAAAATGATGGCTGCAATGTTATCTACAAACATGTACAAATTCAAATGAAATTTTGACAAAAAAAGGGTTTTATAGTAGATGAACCTGACATATTTCAGCTTAAATTACTGACATTTAACAATGCATATTAGCTTATCTTTTATTATTAACAGTAAAATTCGGTCCGATTTTGCCGTGGCGTCTGTTGTTGCTACTGCTTCTCCACAATGTAGCTCTGCTACAAGATTTATTCATTCTGAAAATTCGGTATTTTTTCATATTGCTGAGCCTGGAAAAAATGAGCACGTCGCTTCAATTCGCTTGTCGCGCGCCTACATTGGAAATAACAAACTTGTCGAGCTACCTCCCATCACGCCACGAGCTTCTAGTAGCTCGTGAGCCACGTGTTGGAGACCCCTGGTTTAGGGTAAGATTTGTTTGTAGTTGTTGAAAGAAAGTAATAGTTTTATTCAGAAAGTATACATTAAACTGATAAAAACTGACAGTAAAGACTTTCACATTGTTATAATGTTTTTCCAATTATATGCTGATTATTATTCTAAACAAAATGTATCATTGTTTCCACAAAAAAATATTAAGCAGAACAACTGTTTTAAATATTTATAATAAATAAAAAAATGTTTCTTGAGCCCTAAATCAGCCTATCAGAATGATAGTCTCAGATGGGACGTCGTGACGCCAAACCCCCTCATAGAAGAAGAAAGCCGCCCTGTTTACAACTGTGACAATGAGCGCTTATCATGATCAACTAAATTCTTGTTTTTTCAAAAGTTTGTGAAGTTCAAGGTGCCATTGTTGCAGTAAACTTGCACAATGTTCTTGAACGTGTAATTTATTAGATGCATGCTGGTCTGTTATCGTAGGGACAGACTTACATTTTCACGCCTTTAAACATGTCGCGGAACAGGTCCAGACTCTTGACACTAAAGTCTGGATTAATGGATGCTGAAAAAACAGGAATAAATGGCATTTTACATATATGTGTTTATCTATACATATATGTAAAATGCCATTTATTCCTGTGAAGGCCAAGCTGAATTTTCAGCAGCCATTAATCCAGACTATAACATATAAAGTACAATATTTTATACTTACACAGCCAATTAAATCTATGCGAGTCTAAAATGTAATCAGAAGCCATGACACTTAAAGCAATCTAATTTGAAGATGAACCGTTGTTGATCTAAACTAGAGTCTATAATGCTGCTAATTTCAATGGTTTGCTAAAAGATTCAATCCCATTTATTTGTATAAAACTTTTGTAATATTGTATAATTAAAATTTTACTCAATTTAAAAAAAGTCACAGTGCCTATGATTTAATGCAAGCACACTTTTTGTGCTTTTTACACCCCTGCTGCACATTATATCTTACAAGAGGGGAAAATCTGTATGAAAAAATGCTGAATGTACTGAACCCAGTGTACTTCAGAAACCCACAAAGGCCATCCATCATTATTTTTTTATCAAGCCCTCAAGATATAACACAATAACGCATGGCCTCTGTGGGCTTCAGTAGCTTCCAGCACTAAACATCATTTGGTCCTGCACAGATGCTCTATTTTATGCAGTGGCCGTCTTATTAAGAAACACAATGGCACTACTGATATTTTAGTATCCAGGCTTGTTCATGGGGAGGGAGGAAAAATGGAAAGGAAAAATTACCAACGTCATTGACCTGCAGCAGTGGTCAAAAAATCCCACAGATCCTATGTCTGCAAAATATGCAACAACATAAAACAGCACACAGAGCCTTCAACAGCATATCACACGCTTTTAGTAACACGCTCATGGCGGTGCTCAAGGACTCGGAAGGAAGGGGAGGAAATGATCTCATGCGTTACTTGGGTGCAAAGGAACCCGACACAGGCACGGCTTACATTCAGCACTGACCTATCAGAACACATCAGAGGGGGGTGAAAGACATTTCGCGTCACACCACTATCATTCACAGGAGAACAATATGGGAAGAGCAATCACAATGGTTGAGTTTAGGTTTGATGGGAGATGCGAGGCTGAATTTACAGGATGCCGTACATTCATCACGCAGAGTGATGCTGCATCCTTTTAATGTGTGAATTGGTGCTGGGCTCAAATAAATTCTAGGGCTGTCAATTGAAATTTGAATTAAAATAATTACATGGTTTGCAACAAATTAATGAATAAAATTGCATATTACCCATAACTTTAGAAGTCAATGTATCGTTTGTTTTATTTCCATTTTGCAGTCGAGAGTTTTGTCCATTTACAGCGTTTTTCCATTTCTACTAGACACTAAGTAGATTATTTTTGTAAGATTTACTGGACTAAATTTACCAGTTAAATTGACAGCCCTCATAAATGCATACAAATTTGAATAGTTTCGCTTATG